AGTAGTATGTCATTGTTGTCAGCTAGGACTGTATATCTTGTACATGTTTTTTTTTTTTTTTCAACAAGTCGGTCGTCTCCCACCAAGGCAGGGTGACCCACCGAGGCAGGGTGACCCACCGAGGCAGGGTGACCCCCCGAGGCAGGGTGACCCCCCGAGGCGGGTGACCCACCGAGGCAGGGTGGGCCCACCGAAAGGGAGGGTGACCCACCGAGGCAGGGTGACCCACCGAGGCAGGGTGACCCACCGAGGCAGGGTGACCCACCGAGGCAGGGTGACCCAAAAAAGAAAGAAAATCCCCAAAAAGAAAATACTTTCATCATCATTCAACACTTTCACCACACTCACACATTATCACTGCTTTTGCAGAGGTGTTCAGAATACAACAGTTTAGAAGCATATACGTATAAAGATACACAACATATCCCTCCAAACTGCCAATATCCCAAACCATGTACATGTACTTGTAGTAAATAAAGATCTTATTATTATTAATATTACTGACAAAGTTAATCTTCCTTCCCTATTGATGACCTTGACCCAGTGTTTTGGCACACTAGTCACCCTGGGTATAATGATTACATCATATTCAAACATAAATCTTACCTCGGGGACAGTCGCATCTCACCCAGAAGCAAGAATGGAGGAGAATTATTATTATTATTATAATCAAGGGGAAGCGCTAAACCCGGAGGATTAATGGAGGAGAAGGTCCTTCCAGGTGGACACCACAACCACAAGTGAGGTTGCCAACTAGTCTCTTCCCATCAACTCAACAACAACAAACAAAAGACTCTCCACATGCACAATTCTTTAGCTATTACCAAATTTTGGTTTTCCCATTACTACGCCTTATTTTACTTTTACAAAAAGAAATACAAACTTTTTTTTATAATCCACTTATTTTAATTGTATTATTATTATTATTATAATCAAGGGGGAAGCGCTAAACCCGGAGAATTATACAGCGCCTAGGGGGGGGGGAATGTGGAAGGCATTCAGGCTTAATTCGGGGAACTGGAGCACAGATCCAATTCCCTAAATCAAGAGCCCCTCACCAACATCAAAGAACCTTCCTTGAGGGGTGTGTGTTTATAGTATAATCTATTATATAGAAAAACAGGACTTGACTCGACTGACTTTTTCTCCCATAAGAGTGATCTACCCTTATGACAGAATTAGGTATTCCAAAGTGAGTAACTGCTACTTGCATACATAAATACATATTGGGTCCTATAGCCCCGTAACAGATGCGTCATGCCAACACTCAAAAATTTTAGGATTTTGAAGTTTTTTTGGATTTTGGAATTTCAGATAAAGGATTCTCTACTGTATTATTATATTTTATTAGTTATTTTAATTATTATTAGTAGTATTGGTATTATATTACTATTATATTTTATTAGATGATAATTACAGGTTGGATTATGATCACTGGTAATGACAATATGAATATACAGGTTTTCAAATGAAATGTTTAATGCATATTAACACATTTTTTAACACATACAGTATTTAATTGTTATAATGATTAATAGGTAATGAGAGAATTTATAATTTTTCATGTGTTTATGGTAACGAAAAAAGAATATATGTACTGTATTGTTTTTATACGTTTGTGGTTGAGAGAATAGTTTAGCATACATATTAACAACATTCATCATATTTAGTTGTTGTTAGGATACATTAGGGAAAGAAGTTGCTTTTTGTACAGTAGCCTTGAAGATGATGGTAGATCACGAGGCTCTCGAGATTTATGGAAGGGAGTTCCAGATTTTGTGGCTCTTTATGCAAGTTGAACTTTTACAAAGATTAAGCTGGACATGGGGAATGTCATAGACATTTTATCTGTCTAGTATTACGTCTGTGGGTTATGTTGCAACTGTCAAGGAAGTGCTTCACGTCAGGATTAGTGTTAGAATTTATATTTCTGTATACAGTGGACCCCCGCATAACGATGGCATCACATAGCGATTATTTCGCATACCGCTTACTTTAATCGCAAAATTTTTGCCGCGCATACCGATTAAAAACCCGCTCACCGATTTTCGTCCGAGACGCGTCCAATGTGCGCCCTCAGCCAGCCTCACATGTGCCGCCCGTGCCATTGTTTACCAGCCAGCCTCCGCGCTAACATCCAAGCATACACTCGGAATATTTCGTATTATTACAGTGTTTTCGGTGCTGTTTCTGGAAAATAAGTGACCATGGGCCCCAAGAAAGCTTCTAGTGCCAACCGTACACCAATAAGGGTAAGAATACCCATTGAAATGAAGAAAGAGATCATTGATAAGTATGAAAGTGGAGTGCGTATCGCCGACCTAGTCAAGTTGTACAAGAAACCCCCAATCAACCATCGCTACTATTGTGGGCACCAAAAAGACAATCAAGGAAGCTGTTCTTGCCAAAGGTTTAACTGTGTTTTCGAAACAAAGATCGCAAGTGATGGAAGATGTTGAGAGACTCTTATGGTGTGGATAAATGAAAACAGCTAGCAGGAGATAGCGTCTCTCAAGCGATCATATGTGAAAAGGCTAGGAAGTTGCATGACGATTTAATTAAAAAAATGCCTGCAACTAGTGATGATGTGAGTGAATTTAAGGCCAGCAAAGGTTGGTTTGAGAGATTTAAGAAGCGTAGTGGCATCCATAGTGTGATAAGGCATGGTGAGGCTGCCAGTTCGGACCACAAAGCGGCTGAAAAATATGTGCAGGAATTCAAGGAGTACATAGAAACTGAAGGACTGAAACCTGAACAAGTGTTTAATTGTGATGAAACAGGCCTGTTCTGGAAGAAAATGCAAGCAGGACCTACATTACTCAGGAGGAAAAGGCACTCCCAGGACATAAGCCTATGAAAGACAGGCTTACTCTTCTCATGTGTGCCAATGCTACTGGTGATTGCAAAGTGAAGCCTTTATTAGTGTATCACTCTGAAACTCCCAGAGCGTTCAGGCAAAAGAATGTCCTCAAGGATAATTTGTGTGTGCTGTGGAGGGCAAACAGTAAGGCATGGGTCACTAGGGAATTTTTCTATAACTGGTTACACCATGCATTTGCCCCCAATGTGAAAGATTACCTAACTGAAAAGAAATTAGAACTTAAGTGCCTCCTGGTGTTAGACAATGCCCTGGTCATCCTACAGACGTGGCAGAGCGACTTTATGGGACATGAGCTTCATTAAGGTGAAGTTTTTGCCTCCTAATACCACTCCTCTCCTGCACCCATGGACCAGCAGGTTATTTCCAACTTCAAGAAACTGTACACAAAAGCTCTGTTTGAAAGGTGCTTTGTAATGACCTCAGAAACTCAACTGACTCTAAGAGAGTTTTGGAGAGATCACTTTAATATCCTCAATTGTGTAAACCTTATAGGTAAGGCTTGGGAGGAAGTGACTAAGAGGACCTTGAACTCTGCTTGGAAGAAACTGTGGCCAGAATGTGTAGACAAAAGGGATTTGAAGGGTTTGAGGCTAACCCTGAGAATCCTGTGCCAGTTGAGGAATCCATTGTGGCATTGGGAAAGTCCTTGGGTTGGAGGTTAGTGGGGAGGATGTGGAAGAGTTGGTGGAGGAGGACAATGAAGAACTAACCACTGATGAGCTGATAGATCAACTTCAAGAGCAAGAGGCCAGACCTGGGGAAACTGGTTCAGAGGAGGGGAGAGAGAAATTGAAGAAGTTGCCTACTACAAGATAAAGGAAATCTGTGCAAAGTGGCTTGAAGTGCAAACCTTCATGATGAAATCACCCTCACACAGCTATTGCAAGCCGTGTTGGCAACCTGTACACTGACAATGTTGTGAACACTTTAGGGAAGTGATAAAGGAACGAGAGGTACAGGCCACTATGGACAGATATCTTGTGCGAAAGAAGTCCAGTGACTCTGAAGCTGGCCCTAGTGGCATTAAAAGAAGAAGGGAAGTAACCCCAGAAAAGGACTTACTAACCTCAAGTCCTAATGGAAGGGGATTCCCCTTCTAAACAGTAAGAAGATAATGCTCTCCCCCTCCTCCCATCCCATCAATCATCACCAGATCTTCAATAAAAGTAAGTGTCATGTAAGTGTGCATGCCTTTTTCAGTTTGTGTGTATTAAAATTAATATTTCATGTGGTAAAAAAAATTTTTTTTCATACTTTTGGGTGTCTTGCACGGATTAATTTTATTTCCATTATTTCTTATGGGGAAAATTCATTCACATAACGATTATTTCGCATAACAATTACCCCTCTTGCACGGATTAAAATCGTTAACCGGGGGTCCACTGTATATAGAATGCACAAGTATTAAGAGTGAATATTTTGTATAGTAAATAGGTTTAGGTTTTTGAACAGTGGGCAAGTATGTGGTCTGGCAGTAGACTGTGTGATCAGTTCATATTGTAGTCTTTTCTTCAATTGTTATTGGCTTGAGGTGATTTGCTGTTGTGGATCCCCGGGCACAAATAGTGTAGATGAGGTAGGGGTAGATTAGTGAGTAGTATAATGTAAGTAATGCTGTTTGAGATACATAGTAACTTATCTTTGAGGATGCCAACTGTTTTTGACACTTTTTTTTGTAATGTCTTGAATGTGGGTGTTAAATTTCAAGTTGGTTAAGAAACAGACCCAGAAAATTTTCCTTCATTATGTTTAGCAAATGGAGTATTGTTAATCATAATGTTTCAATGAACATTACTTGCTCTGCTCCCAAACATAATGTAGAAAGTTTTGTCAATGTTAGGTGTCAGTTTATTGGTAGTTATCCAGGTTGATATTTTTAAGAGCTCTTCATAAACAGTGTTGTTAAGTTATGCTGGATTTGGATGGGTGATGACAAAAGTTGTGTCATCAGCAAAGAGAATAGGTCTAAGTTGCTGCAATATATTTTATACCTGGAGAATACCTGAGAGGATTTTGGGGGTCACTGCCCTGTAGCCCTATCTGTGACCAGTGGTGTCAAGAAAGTGGTAAAGCTGCATGGGTAATGCAACGTCCTTCATACTACATGGTGTGTTTACAGCGTGCGTTCAGCACTAGAGGGAGCGACAGTATCAGAGTTGAAGGTAGACAGAGTGTTTACCTGGAAACAGACCATTCGAGCCTGTTTGAGTGACCACACCAGCAGTGCCACATACATCGTCGATGTCATTCCACAGATCAAGGGTAACTTTTGTGCTTCTCCTTTACTATTCCAAATTTTCTACTGTGCTAAGCTAAAGTTTCTATTACATCAAGCTAAATTTTCTGCTGTATTAAGCTGTAGCTTCTACTAGGCAAAATTTTTGGCACTAAACTGAATATTTTTACTTTATTAATCTGAACTTCTTCTGTAATGAGCAAATTTTTCTGTTTGATAGGAGTGAATGGAGACAAATGGTTTTTAATACTTGACGTGCTGTTGGAGTGTGAGCAAAGTAACATTTATGAAGGGGTTCAGGGAAACCGGCAGGCCGGACTTGAGTCCTGGAGATGGGAAGTACAGTGCCTGCACTCTGAAGGAGGGGTGTTAATGTTGCAGTTTAAAAACTGTAGTGTAAAGCACCCTTCTGGCAAGACAGTGATGGAGTGAATGATGGTGAAAGTTTTTCTTTTTCGGGCCACCCTGCCTTGGTGGGAATCGGCCAGTGTGATAATAAAAAAAAAAAAAAATTATGTTCAGAGCAGTAAACCCTCAGGGGTCATACAATGCCTTGGAGGTAATTACGATTCATCCTGTAAACGGAAGAGCTGCTTCAAATTTTTGGATTGTTATCTTAGCACTGAGGTGCTTCCTCTTTAAAGAATTGTATACAGTAGTCCCCTATATCCACAGGTGATAGTTTCCAAGACCTGCTGTTGACACCCAGAACTGTGGACAATAGCAAACACTACATATAAGTTGTTTTTTTGTTTACATACATACAGTGGACCCCCGCTTAACGATCACCTCCCAATGCGACCAATTATGTATGTGTATTTATGTTAGTGCATTTGTACGTGTATGTTTGGGGGTCTGAAATGGACTAATCTAATTCACAATATTCCTTATGGGAACAAATTCGGTCAGTACTGGCACCTGAACATACTTCTGGAATGAAAAAATATCGTTAACCGGGGGTCCACTGTACTTATAATAAAGTTTAATTAATAATTAATAAATAGGTAGTAGGTTGGTAGACAGCAACCACCCAGGGAAGTACTACCGTCCTGCCAGATGACTGTGAAACAGAAACCTGTAACTGTTTTGCATGATGGTAGGATTGCTGGTTTCTTTTTCTGTCTCATAAACACGCTAGATAACAGGGATATCTTGCTACTCCTACTTACACTTTGGTCACACTTCACAGACACGCACATGCATATATATATATACATACATCTAGGTTTTTCTCCTTTTTCTAAATAGCTCTTGTTCTTCTTTATTTCTTCTATTGTCCATGGGGAAGTGGAAAAGAATCTTTCCTCCGTAAGCCATGCGTGTCGTATGAGGCGACTAAAATGCCGGGAGCAATGGGCTGGTAACCCCTTCTCCTGTAGACATTTACTAAAAAAGAGAAGAAGAAAAACTTTATAAAACTGGGATGCTTAAATGTGCGTGGATGTAGTGCGGATGACAAGAAACAGATGATTGCTGATGTTATGAATGAAAAGAAGTTGGATGTCCTGGCCCTAAGCGAAACAAAGCTGAAGGGGGTAGGGGAGTTTCAGTGGGGGGAAATAAATGGGATTAAATCTGGAGTATCTGAGAGAGTTAGAGCAAAGGAAGGGGTAGCAGTAATGTTAAATGATCAGTTAGGAAGGAGAAAAGAGAATATGAATGTGTAAATTCAAGAATTATGTGGATTAAAGTAAAGGTTGGATGCGAAAAGTGGGTCATAATAAGCGTGTATGCACCTGGAGAAGAGAGGAATGTAGAGGAGAGAGAGAGATTTTGGGAGATGTTAAGTGAATGTATAGGAGCCTTTGAACCAAGTGAGAGAGTAATTGTGGTGGGGGACCTGAATGCTAAAGTAGGAGAAACTTTTAGAGAGGGTGTGGTAGGTAAGTTTGGGGTGCCAGGTGTAAATGATAATGGGAGCCCTTTGATTGAACTTTGTATAGAAAGGGGTTTAGTTATAGGTAATACATATTTTACGAAAAAAGAGGATAAATAAGTATACAAGATATGATGTTGGGCGAAATGACAGTAGTTTGTTGGATTATGTATTGGTAGATAAAAGACTGTTGAGTAGACTTCAGGATGTACATGTTTATAGAGGGGCCACAGATATATCAGATCACTTTCTAGTTGTAGCTACACTGAGAGTAAAAGGTAGATGGGATACAAGGAGAATAGAAGCATCAGGGAAGAGAGAGGTGAAGGTTTTATAAACTAAAAGAGGAGGCAGTTAGGGTAAGATATAAACAGCTATTGAGGATAGATGGGCAAATGAGAGCATAGGCAATGGGGTCGAAGAGGTATGGGGTAGGTTTAAAAATGTAGTGTTAGAGTGTTCAGCAGAAGTTTGTGGTTACAGGAAAGTGGGTGCGGGAGGGAAGAGGAGCGATTGGTGGAATGATGATGTAAAGAGAGTAGTAAGGGAAAAAAGTTAGCATATGAGAAGTTTTACAAAGTAGAAGTGATGCAAGGAGGGAAGAGTATATGGAGAAAAAGAGAGAGGTTAAGAGAGTGGTGAAGCAATGTAAAAAGAGAGCAAATGAGAGAGTGGGTGAGATGTTATCAACAAATTTTGTTGAAAATAAGAAAAAGTTTTGGAGTGAGATAACAAGTTAAGGAAGCCTAGAGAACAAATGGATTTGTCAGTTAAAAATAGGAGAGGAGAGTTATTAAATGTAGAGTTAAAGGTATTGGGAAGATGGAGGGAATATTTTGAGGAATTGTTAAATGTTGATGAAGATAGGGAAGCTGTGATTTCGTGTATAGGGCAAGGAGGAATAACATCTTGCAGGAGTGAGGAAGAGCCAGTTGTGAGTGTGGAGGAAGTTCGTGAGGCAGTAGGTAAAATGAAAGGGGGTAAGGCAGCCGGGATTGATGGGATAAAGATAGAAATGTTAAAAGCAGGTGGGAATATAGTTTTGGAGTGGTTGGTGCAATTATTTAATAAATGTATGGAAGAGGGTAAGGTACCTAGGGATTGGCAGAGAGCATGCATAGTTCCTTTGTATAAAGGCAAAGGGGATAAAAGAGAGTGCAAAAATTATAGGGGGATAAGTCTGTTGAGTATACCTGGTAAAGTGTATGGTAGAGTTATTATTGAAAGAATTAAGAGTAAGACGGAGAATAGGATAGCAGATGAACAAGGAAGCTTTAGGAAAGGTAGGGGGTGTGTGGACCAGGTGTTTACAGTGAAACATATAAGTGAACAGTATTTAGATAAGGCTAAAGAGGTCTTTGTGGCATTTATGGATTTGGAAAAGGCGTATGACAGGGTGGATAGGGGGGCAGTGTGGCAGATGTTGCAGGTGTATGGTGTAGGAGGTAGGTTACTGAAAGCAGTGAAGAGTTTTTATGAGGATAGTGAGGCTCAAGTTAGAGTATGTAGGAAAGAGGGAAATTATTTCCCAGTAAAAGTACGCCTTACACAAGTATGTGTGATGTCACCGTGGTTGTTTAATATATTTATAGATGGGGTTGTAAGAGAAGTAAATGCGAGGGTCTTGGCAAGAGGCGTGGAGTTAAAAGATAAAGAATCACACACAAAGTGGGAGTTGTCACAGTTGCTCTTTGCTGATGACACTGTGCTCTTGGGAGATTCTGAAGAGAAGTTGCAGAGATTGGTGGATGAATTTGGTAGGGTGTGCAAAAGAAGAAAATTAAAGGTGAATACAGGAAAGAGTAAGGTTATGAGGATAACAAAAGTTAGGTGATGAAAGATTGGATATCAGATTGGAGGGAGAGAGTATGGAGGAGGTGAACGTATTCAGATATTTGGGAGTGGACGTGTCAGCGGATGGGTCTATGAAAGATGAAGTGAATCATAGAATTGATGAGGGGAAAAGGGTGAGTGGTGCACTTAGGAGTCTGTGGAGACAAAGAACTTTGTCCTTGGAGGCAAAGAGGGGAATGTATGAGAGTATAGTTTTACCAACGCTCTTATATGGGTGTGCAGCGTGGGTGATGAATGTTGCAGCGAGGAGAAGGCTGGAGGCAGTGGAGATGTCATGTCTGAGGCCAATGTGTGGTGAGAATTAATGCAGAGAATTCGTAGTTTGGAAGTTAGGAGGAGGTGCGGGATTACCAAAACTGTTGTCCAGAGGACTGAGGAAGGGTTGTTGAGGTGGTTCGGACATGTAGAGAGAATGGAAGCGAACAGAATGACTTCAAGAGTGTATCAGTCTGTAGTGGAAGGAAGGCGGGGTAGGGTCGGCCTAGGAAAGGTTGGGAGAGGGGGTAAAGGAGGTTTTGTGTGCGAGGGGCTTGGACTTCCAGCAGGCATGCGTGAGCGTGTTTGATAGGAGTGAATGGAGACAAATGGTTTTTAATACTTGACGTGCTGTTGGAGTGTGAGCAAAGTAACATTTATGAAGGGATTCAGGGAAACCGGCAGGCCGGACTTGAGTCCTGGAGATGGGAAGTACAGGAGGGGTGTTAATGTTGCAGTTTAAAAACTGTAGTGTAAAGCACCCTTCTGGCAAGACAGTGATGGAGTGAATGATGGTGAAAGTTTTTCTTTTTCGGGCCACCCTGCCTTGGTGGGAATCGGCCAGTGTGATAATAAAAAAAAAAATAATAATAATAAATTTTGCACAATAAGTTGAGAATTATCACTTTTTCACTGGAAGCCCTTCACACCTTCTCTTAGACTTTGAAGAACTGCCACCATGACTACTTTTGTGTTTTGGGGTCATTATTAAGCAAAATTAAGGGTTATTTTCAGGCCACGGTAAACCGTGAATAATTGATACCATGAAAACAGAGTCCATGGATATGGGGGTTCTAATGTAGTTACACATAAATACCTACGTGCATGCATGCATACCAATGATGACTCGGTTGGGAGTAGACATATTCAGTCTAGTTTCCATTATTTCCTTATATATGTTAAGACATCCCTCATCACTGAGCAGTGTTCAACACACTTTACCACCACCTCATGCAGCCTGCACTTACTTCATCATAATGACCATATAATCACTCTAAACATGCTTGCAACAGGTGACAAGTGGAGCAAGATAGATGGAGTGGTGTCGTTTGGAAGTTTAGAACCTGAATTACAGAAGACCGTCACTGATCTGGAAACTTCAGAACACTCTGCAGTGCTCTACTCTCTCTTTGGGCCGCCTAACACCTCACTTCTCACTCTCACTACCAACTATTCATTATTAGAGAGAGACTTTTTTATTAAAAATAAAGGTGAGTAATATTCTTTTGTATTATTATTATTATTATAATCAAAAAGAAGTGCTAAACCACAAGGGCTATACAGCGATATTCTTTTTGTAGAAGAAGAATCTTTATATAGTACATTAAGAGTAGTAATGGTTGAATTACCCTCAAAATATGTTATGTAAATGGACATAAGTACAACTAATATGAGATTTTGTGATAATGTTTCACTCTCCAGGAGCTTTGTCAAGCTGTTACAAACAGTACATGGACACAGGTATATATACACAGACCTTGCTTATACACCAAATTAGGTTCCAGGCTGCTGATGTAAAGCAAAAATTGATGTACAGTGAAACAGCCTTTTTTCCCTTTCAAAGTTATATGTAAAAGCCTGATAACATGTTTATACTATCACATATTAAGTGAGCAATATAGCTAGGCCTAAAAAAATGCATATACAGTACACACATTACTTATTTTAAAATATTTTCTTCCTTCACTTATAGTGACTGGTGAATATATTTATTGTAGGAAGTCTGAATAAATGAAAAATGGCTATAATTGAATACTGCTGTATTTGTTAAATGCTGCAATGCTGTGTAGGTACCATGTGAGGTGAAAGTGTAGACTTACTGATTCTACCACATAGGCCAGTAGGCTTACTCATTCACCTCATTTGGAACCTATATATACCCTCTGTGTTTTTGTATTGTTTGTAATTCCTTGACAAAGCTCCTGGAGAGTGAAATGTTGCCACAATAAACTCACATTAGTCGCACTAATGGACGTGTCAGCCGAGGTTATAAAGGATTAGTATCATAAATGATGAGGGGATGAGTTGCACTCAGGAGTCTGAGGAAAAACAAAGTAACTTTGTCCTTGGATGCACTAGAGAAATAGGGAAAATAGTTTTAACAACGCTCTTATGGGGATAAAGCAGGGATAAGTTGCATCGAGAATAAGCACAGAGTGTTGGCTGAGCTGAGTTATAATAATGCAAAATTCGTTATGGAAGTTAGAGGATAGCGATTATTAAAATTTGACTGATGAATTTTTTGTTAAATGGTTCACCCAAGGAAATGACGAAAAAAAAAAAAAAAAAAAAAAAAAAAGATTTTTCAGCTTACTTCCACAGCACTGACTTGATCAGAAATGCAAGACAAAAGTTTTAAATTTACGCTGCTTGGAGTGACAAAGTAAAATTCCAAACTTTCAGAACGGCAGCGGCTTACCTTGTAATGAATTAAACCTCATTGTTGTTTCTGTTTGCATAAAAAGACTGTATGTAAATGCCCTTCTTTTGGAGACATTTATGTTTCATAATTTTTTTTTTATCGCCACCCATTCCTTGGAACGGCGGTGTGGAAAAAAAAAAAAAAAAAGTTTCACCAAATTTAAATGCAAGTCCAAAACCTGTTTGACTCAGACGAGGTGCTTAAAACAACTTACAGTTTTTTAAACTGCAAAATTTAAACCCCTCCTTTGGAATGCAGGCCTGTCTCCATTCAGGACTCAAGTCGCCTTTCTTGGTTTCTGAATTTACAGTAATGTTACTTTGCTTTATAAAGCCAACAGATACTTGTTTAAAATTACCATTTTTCCAAATTCACCAAAAATCCTAAAAAAACATTCCCATCATTCATTGCCAGCTGGACTTGTCAAAGCTCTCGCACACAAACCCTCCCTTTACCCCCTCCCTCCCAACCCTTCCTAGTCGAACCTTAAAACCCCTTGTCTTCTTTTCCTAACAAAAGACTGTACATCTTAAGTCAGTTTTTGTTGTCCTTTCCCTTCTTACATACATATATTGAAGAAATACACTACCCAGTCCAAAACTACATTCCCACCTGTTCCTTAAGGCACAATACTCGCCCCACTTCTGTTTCACATTCCTATATCCATCAGACAAGAACAGATCATAGCACCATAGCATCCTTCATTGATGACTCCAGAATCTTAATGAAAATGTCATCCATTAAAGATACAGTGAACCTCTAAGAGGATATAAATATAGATTTCTCCTCTATGGGAAAGTTGAGAAGAATCCTTCCTCTATAATCCATGGGTGTCGTGACTTAAAACGCCAGGAGCAAGATGCTAGTAACTTCTCCGATATAAATTACTAAATGTAAAAAGAAGAAAAACTTTTGTATTTTCTTTTTGGGTCACCCTGCTTTGGTGGGAGATGGCTGATGTGTTAAAAAAAAAAAAATTCCATTGGGCCAACAATACGATGTTCAATAAAGACAAGTTTCAGTTGCTGCATTTTGGAAGAATGGAGGAAATAATGACTGAAATGGAGTACAGGATAAACTCAAATCATTCAATAGAGCAGAAGCTTAATGTGCAACACTTGCGAGTAATGATATCGGAAGATCTCACATTCAAGAATGACAACAATGATGTTATTGCTATAGCGAGGTAAATGATAGGCTGGATAACTAGAATTTTCAGGAAAATGTATGCTGAGCCAATGATATTCTTCAAGTCACTTGTTCTCTCCAGACTGGAATACTTCTGTATACAGTTTCCTTCAGGGCAGGTGAGACTGCTGAGCTGGAAAAAGTATAGAGAACTTTCACTGCTTGTATACATTCAATCACACATCTAAACTCCTGGGAACACCTGAAATCCCTTTAACTGTATTCCTTGGAAAGTAGGCAAGAGAGGTATATAATAATTTACACCTGGAGAGACTGATCCCAAACCTGCACACTGGAAGCATTTCTTGTAAAAGCAGTAGATTTGGCAGGTATTGCAAAATACCTCCAATAAAAAGCAAGGGCAGGAAGAGTACATTGACAGAGAACTCATTAAGTGTCAGAGGTCCCTGACTCTTCAGTGGCCTCCTGTACATAATGGAAATTACCAGCCAACCACTGGTTGTCTTCATGAGGGAACTGGATAAGTTTTTCAAATCAGATTCTAACCAGAAGGGCTGTGGTTTGTACGTTGGACTGCGTACAGCCTGGTTGATCACACCTTGATCCACCAGGGGTTAGCACGTGGAAGCATCCTTCAGATATCTTTACCAGTTTTCATTCCATCTGTCCCAGCTGCTTTACCCTCTATTTCCCTTGAAGGAGGTTCCTTGATGCCAGTGAGCTCTTAATGCAACAACTGGACCTGCCTTCCCCTTTCTTGGATTAAACCTGAATGCTTCCCATTTCCCACAGGGACTGTATGATCACTATGGGTTTAGTGCTACCACATGAATGTAATGAAAATTATTACAGGTGAACACTTTTATTCTACCCAGTGATTCATGCACTTTTTCCACAGTACCCTCTGGTTCTTATTTATATTTTTTTAATGGATTGATGTGTTGTAGGAGTGTGAGCAATGTCAGGGAAACCCATTGGCCAGACTTGAGTCCTGGGGGGGGGTACAATGCCTGCACTGCAGGATGGGCGAGGATGTTACAACTTGCAGGGTCATCTGAATTGTCTATACACTTCTGACAATCATAGCTACATAGGTTGTACAGTAATATTAATAATCTTGTGATTTTTTCAGAACTGCGCGAGATTGTAATTTTGGCAAAGCTGATCCTTGCTGGCCACAACTGGAAGAATAAGCATGGCCTCAAGACAGCCCACCTGAAGCGCGTTGCTCTGGGAAACATCACATCTCTCGCCAGTCTCTCCCCATGTCAGTCTCATCCTATATACTCTGATAATTTTTTATGTAGATATAGGCATAGAATTGATGTGATACTTAGAAATTTTATCTACAGTAGGAGTGGAGATGAATGATTTTTGGGACCTGACAAGCTGTTGGAGTGTGAACAAAGTAATATTTTGTGAAGGCATTCAGGTAAACTGGTTAGCCAGACTTGAGTCCTGGTGGTGGGAAGTACAGTGCCTGCTCTCTACAAGAGGGGTTTGGGATAATTTCTGTTTGGAGGGACATCGTTCTGTCGTATTTGTGCATCTCTGGCAAAATAGTGTTAGTGTGAATGATGGTGAAAGTGTTTCTTTTTCAGGTCACCCTGCCTCGGTGGGAGATGGCCCACGTATTAGAAAAATGCACATAAATTTAAATTCATGTTATGTTTTGTAGAAACACACACAAGAAAATTTGTTCAAGTGAAATTGCTTATCATACAGGAGAATTTTCATTCTAGAGAGGTTTTGATGCCAGTGAAAGGAACTTGACCCAAGGACTAGGATCTGTCTTTTCCTTGATTCACATATTGCTTCCCATTCCCCAGGCACTGGAATGGTTGGTGTTTTTATTTAATAAATGTATGAAAGATAGGAAGATACCTAAGGATTGTCCTGCAGCTTGATCGCTAGCTCACTCGCCTCACACACTGAGGTCCAGAGATCGAATCCCCAGTACAGCTGGGTAACATTAGGACGTGTTTCTATAGGACACCTGTTGTCCATGTTCACCCATCAGTATAAAATGGGTACCTGGGTGTTAGTCAACTGGTGTGGGTCGCATCCTGGGATAAAACTGACCTAATTTGCCTGAAATGCTCAGCATAACGAGCGGCTTTCTATACAGTAATGTGTCATTGATGTCAGCTATGGTCTCTATACCTTGTACATGTACAGTGGACCCCGGTTAACGATATTTTTTCACTCCAGAAGTATGTTCAGGTGCCAGTACTGACCGAATTTGTTCCCATAAGAAATATTGTGAAGTAGATTAGTCCATTTCAGACCCCCAAACATACACGTACAAACGCACTTACATAAATACACTTACATAATTGGTCGCATTCGGAGGTAATCGGTATGCGGGGGTCCACTGTACTTGTAAAAATAAAGATCTTTCAACAAATTGGCCATTTCCCACTGAGGCAGGGTAGCCCAAAAAGAAAACAAAAGTTTATCGTTTTAACTTTAGTAATATATACAGAAGGGGTTACTAGCCCCTTGCTCCCAGCATTTTAGTCGACTCTTATGACACACATGGTTTACGGAGGAAGAATTCTGTTCCATTTCCCCATGGAGATAAGTGGAAATGAACAAGAACAAGAACTAGTAAGAAAATAGAAGAAAACCCAGAGGGGTGTGTGTGTTATATATATGTTTGTACATGCATGTGTAGTGTGACCTAAGTGTAAGCAGAAGTAGCAAGACGTACCTGAAATCTTGCATGTTCATGAGACAGAAAAAAAGACACCAGCAATCCTACTGTCTACCACTCTACTACCTAGGAAAAAGATATTATTATAGTTCCTTCGTATAAATGTAAAGGGGACAAAAGAGTTATGGCCCCTACATGTTTAGCTCTTCCCTGATAATATTTTTATTTTAATTAGGTGAGCACTAGGCCCATAGAGGTCTTAAGAGTATCTGGGGAAATGGGAGGCAATCACGTTTAATCCAGAGGAAGGATTAGAGAGTATTATTTTACCCCCCTTGAGGGGATAATACTACTACTCAGAACTGCAGTTTAAGGACAGAATTGCTTGTGATTTTGATATTTCTTCTTTCAACAAACTTGCCGCATCCCACGGAGGCAGGGTGGCCCAAAAGGAAAAATGAAAGTTTCTCCCTTCAAATTTAGTAATATAGTATGTGGCATAAATATCATGCAGATAATTCAGAGCTTAGAAACTAAAAGGAAATATTGTAGTGTTGAGGTGATTTGGGCATGTAGAAAGGATGGAGAGGGAAAGGAAGACTGTAAATCTTGGGTGGAAGGTAGATGGTTAAGGGTCATTCCAGGAACAGTTGGAGGGAGGGGTTAAAAGACTAATAGGCTTCAAGTTTTAGGGGTTTGTGCATTAAGAAGGCTGTGTGAGCATATTATTAGTGAATGGAGAAAAGTGGTTATTAATTGATGTGCTGTTGAGTGTGAGCAAAGTAACTTTTGTGAAGGGATTCAGGGAACAGGTTAGCTAAACTTATCCTGGAAGTGGGAAATACAGTGCCTGCACTCTGAAGGATGGGTGGAGATGTTGCATTTGGAGGGTAATATAAAGTATGATGTGAGTACTGTACAGGAAAGATGCCAAGAACTGCACTTAGGAAAGGAACATTAGAATGTCAGACTTTGAGTTTTTTTTATTTTAGGGCAGAGTATGCAGAAGCTCTTCCAGCTGTCATGTCAAACTTTGAGTTTTTATTTTATTTTAGGGCAAGGTATGCAGAAGCTCTTCCAGCTGTCATGTCAAACTTTGAGTTTTTATTTTATTTTAGGGCAAGGTATGCAGAAGCTCTTCCAGCTGATGGTGTCGCAGCTACAGACCGGCTACCTGGACGGCTTCCCGGACCTCCACTGTGACCTCTTCTGGCATAAAAATGAAGAAGAGTGCCAATATATAGCCAAAACAATTGCAAATGTGATGATGACCCTTGACCCAAAATTTCTTGCAAATTATTTATAAGTACTCTACAGGTAAACTATAAAATTAACATTGTACAATAATATAGTATACAGAAATCTTTGAGTTATGTCTTGATATTATGTTTTTAAGAGGATATTTTTCAGTTATTTACAATAACTGAAAAGTATCCTCTAAATGTTAATATGAAGTTATTTTTGTATTGTTTCAAGGTAGACTGCATGTCTTGATAAATTATTATTACAATCAAAACTTAAGTGTTAAACTCACAAGGATTGTAGAGAGCTGATGTGTTGACAAAACTTCCCCTTGAGGGAGGTTCCTCGATGGTGGCGAGCTCCTCTTCATCTTAAGACTTGTCCTCCCCTTCCTTAGATCAAACTTTATTGCTTTTAATTCCCCCAGACACTGTATAACCCCTATGGGTTTAGATCTTTTCCATGAATATATTAAAAATACAAGTATAAAATTGTACGAGATTATTATATTTATGGGAATTGGTAAACCTGTTAAGGTCATACAGCAACTGGTGAATGACAGATCAAAGTTTGATCCATGGAACAGAAGAGTAGCATCATTTTCTTGAATTAAGGAATCTTCACCAGCATCAATGTAGCCAATTTGAAAGTTTTCCATATCATAGGTAAAGCATCTAACTCAAACATGCATAAGAATTACTATTATTATATTCAAAACTAAATGCTAAACCCACAAGGGTCATACAGCACTAACAAGAACTATTGAGTTGAGTTTTGTGTGTGTTAATTTTAGCTCCAGAGGTAAGTACCATAAGTTACTTTCTTACAAGTCTTAATTTAGTCAACTTTTGTTCTATACAGAATAAGAAAAGTCTGTGATATTCTCATGATTAATATGATTAGTAATAGATTAATAGTTAACCAGATTTATTTCTTAATGAACATCAATTTTGTATTCTAATTAATGAATTTATGATACCTCCATTTGATACATTTTGTATAATAGATGTATTATATTTATGATGGAGCATCAGTGCCATGAACACTTGTGAGTGGTAGCAGGAATACCAAGTGTTAACCCAGACAGGAGACTAGAGGTGATCGGTTTATTTTGATCTTAGTCTGAGATCCTCATCAACTATAAGTACAGAGAATAAAAAGGCTACAAGTTTTTTGTAATGATGAGTAGAACAGGTGGATGCTAGTCTTTGTTGTAGGGGAGGTCCCAGGGGTTTAATATAAGGCATCTTGTTGAGGGACACGTCGAGTACAGTATTTGGTGTGTTTCTGCTAAGTTAGGTGCTGGGATGTACTTGGTCAATATGAATTTGGTAATTATCTAGTTAGAGTTGTCTTTTAAAGTTGTGTATTTGATGTATGTCTGCTGCTTCCAATGTTTTCTTTTTGTGTAAACTTGGCACCTTCCCAGTTTATTGTGTGGCTACACTTGTTGGAAAATGGCAAAGTTTTCCTGTACATATTAAACTTTATTATGTTCAGTGATTCTAGATGTAAGATCACACAGTTTTTGTTTGATATTTAGTAACTAACAGGTCTCTTGAGAAGCAATTATTTTATTAGGATAGGTCGCTTCTGTGATGCTTTTGTTGTTTTCTCAATCTCCGATGAAACGATTAATCTGTTGGAGCATTTGTCACTTGTTCTGTTTGAGCTTTGAATTGTTTTTGCAAGTCTCAATGGGGTAAACTACTCTGGGTATCTGAGTTTGGGAAATTGTTCCCAGGTAGTGTTTTATTTTCTGATCCAGAAGGGAGGGGTTGGAAACTGTTGGCGCCCATAATCTTTTGTTTTAAGAGATTTTTTTTCTTGATTTTTAGTAACTATTCATCCAAAATTAAGAAAAGCACCATCTCTATATTTAATATTTCTTGACGGGTACTGAGAATCTGCAACTCATCCCTTTTAGATCAGGATAAAAGCCGCTACCTGGGAGCAGTTTGCCAAACTTAGATACCGAGTGATTTATCCAAGTTACAAAAGCAAACCAAAACTACTATACTGTTCAAACAAAATATATGACAAACAGGCCACCAAATAAACTAATAATTCTGGTCCACACAGGTATTGAAAAAAGCTACAAAATGCATCATAGCAGTGACCTATCAAAAATAAAATAGTTTATTTGTAAGCAGTCACAAGACACAGCCAAGACTGAACCTCCTGCAATAAACCAAATACATTGCAACACTTGTGAGTTAGTTGACATGGAAGACAAGGGTTGTGGTCTCACATCTAGTCATGGAACATAAGTGATCAGTTAGATATGTACAGGAGAGCTTTGCTATCTTCCAACATGTGAAATCTTGTAGCCATACAAACTGGAAAGCTGCTAAGATAACACAAAATAAAAGACACTGGAAGCAGCAGTTATAGATCAAACACAACTTAAAAGGGCAACTCTAACCAGACGTAATTACCAATTTCACATAAGAGTAAATACATACCATGGCATAATTCAGCAGAAACACACCAAGCAATGTACTTAGACATGTCCCTCAACAAGATGTCATACACTCAAGCCCCGAGGCCCCTCATCTATAACTAGGACTAATATTCACTTGTTCCTCTACTCACCACTATATAAATCTGTAATCATCTTATTTCTGTACTTTGTCAGACCAAGATCGAAATATACAGATCGACTAATCTCCTGTCTTTCTACGTGTGGGATTCCTGCTGGCATGAGGGTCATGCAGTACCATGTTGGTGCTAGCAGCAGCAGCAGCTTCTAATTTAGTTCTTTGATAAATAAGAGGTGTAATACTTGGGCTATTTTTATGTGCTAAGACAGTGGAAGAAGTGGAGAGGTAATTTTGAAGTGTTCAGTCAGTTAAACAGGCATGAGGACAGACTTGCATAGAAGGCAGGTGTAACAGTTTGGTATGACCTACTTCCCACTAGTGAGCCCCCACCCACTTGTGACATCTCTAGCTGCTGCATGTTGCTGCTAGCTCCAGTCAGTAAGTCTGTAATTGTATCTCTGTTTGTGCTCGAGGACTGAGCACTTTCCATCAAGGCTGAGGGACTGAACATTTCAAAATTAGCTTGACATTTCTACCACTGTCTCCAGTATTAGATCACCTCTTCATTCAAATGAAGAGGCCTGATGAGCAGCTGAAACATTTCAACAAATAAAGATACCTAAATGTTTCTTAACTTATAGGCACTGAACATCATAACAGTTATTTTTGTTTCAAGTTGTATTTTAATCAAATATAAACTGGAAGCCATATCTATTTGTAGTTTAAAACCAAAACCTTTAATTAGCTTTTGTAGTAATTAGTTCCCTGAGGTCAGTAATATGTAAAACACCTTGAGTTTTCTTTATTTGATTATATTTAAATATTTTCATAAAAATGTGAGTATACCAGTGTTGGTACCAAAGACATAAAAGCATTGAAAATAAATCACAGAATATGTTGGCAAATTATAAATTATAAAATACTAGTTGCTGCTTTACTTGTCTGTCACCAAGTACAGATATCTATATTACAGTCGACCCCATGAGTCTGGTCAGAGCAATTTGTCCCAGGTAACATCGCAAACAAAAACAAAACCCACAGGGAAATGGACCCATGACCTAACACCACACTTCCTTTGCACACTGACAGAGCCACCAATGACCAACAACTGAAATATAACCTCAGTAAGACTAGTTGCAGTGTGGGATGCCAAGATGAAACATTTATCACCAACCAGTACAGTAATATATAACTGGATTCAGTTACAAAAGTGTAATAAACACCAGTTAATGATGATAAACCGTACATGGAGAAAGTAGAACAAAACAGAGAGTACTGTACATTTTAACCATGCACTGGGGCCTACTGTAGCATACTGGGGAGACTTCAGCCTATGACTAAAATATATTATACTCCTTTTACCTTCTGATATATTTTCTCTATGTCAATTCATGCCTACCAATCAACTGCGCCTTTCAGGTTCCAAGGAAAATATTTAACTCATGATTATAGTTTGCCACACTCATTACAAAACTATGGGGGATGGGGGGGGGAAATAAATTAATGTAATGTTACTGTTCCACGACTCATAACACATGCCAAACTGCTTAGGATTTGCTCCCAGGCCTGGGCATCACATCAGGATGCATGAATATTTAGCCTCATTTGTGACCCCTGAAAGGCCATACCACACTCGTAATATATACTTAAGTCAGCATTTGCACGCCATTTATAAATATATTTTCATATTTGGGGCCTTACAATAAATTATTGTAATACTGTTACTTTAAAAATGGGGAATGACATCTGGTAAAATGGGTAAAGTCTATATCTAGTGGTAGTGAATAAGACCTCATAAAAATCACAATAAAAATGACTAATTCAATATTCATACAAATTTTCTACATTGTTCAGAACTTACCTGTACAAGGACTAAAAATTCTTACTGGATGCAAAACTTGATCCAAGGGTCTTTGTACGACACACCATTGTATGTTTGCAATAAGCTGCAACAGGCTAATTCAAAGCATCTTTTAAGGAATGATTAGTGGAGTGTAACTGGCATATCCAACCATTTTTACCTTAGCTAGTTCACCATACTATTGCCCTTTCTTATATAAAGTTTAATGAATACAAATTTTATACAGTATAAACTCCCACTAAACAAATTTCTGATCCACCTCGATAACTGTAAATCAGAAAATATTTGTATGAAATACAAATAAATGTATACCGTATATAAATAAGACACGTGAATCATATTACTAGTTTGCCATTAACAGCAATGCATGCAAAAAAATATTAGGAATTGTACAGAATGGGAGATTACCATTTTCTTTCTTGAGCATATCTCTGACAATATCTCTGTAAAATGTAGATAAAATGCACATTTTTCTCCTAGTCAACCTACAATTTTTTTTTTACAAGTAAACGAATTAAATACTTAAACAGTGGGCAGTGTATTATTTCATCATGTATATTTCTAACCAAGACCTCCGTAGCACGAATATCAGCGCTGGGTGCGCCTCCACTGTGGTCGAGCAACACAGTCTACCTATTTTCCAATGTGGAAAGTTGCTACACTGCAGCTGTTTCAATAATTCCCTAACTGCATATTGCTACCTCCATCAAATTAAAAACCTTTAACAAACTTACAGTATCTCACATTACCTTATAAATCATTACTGCTTTATATAAATAAAATTTAATTATTTCTGCATATGATCAAATATAAAATAAATGTTGAATTACTTATGTACATAGCAATAACTGGTATAAGTTAACTGCAGGGATTACATTCAACCCAAACACACACATTGACATTCTGCACACTGCACTAATTTATCTTGTGTAACAATACCAGAGAAGGTGCAGAAAAAAATCAAACATAATTGCTTGCTTATCAGTCTTTGTTAAGGAAGGCAACGTGAGCCTGATAAGAGATACAAACCCGTGTTCTTTATTGGGACACACTAGGATTACCAGCTTCATAGGAGTTGGCAACCACTATGATTGTATCAATGGTGCATTTGCAACACCTGGAACACCTCCCATTTACACTCCAGATAAACTCCTAATGTTGCAAATTTCAGAGCATGTGTGTGTGTGTTGTGTTTTGTGTGCATGCGTGTCAATGGTAATTACCTCTTAGTAATTAGCGAACCTATTTGAGTTTGCAAGCTGAGCGGGAGACTGTAAATGTCTCTCAGCCACTGTATAAATTTCTTTTTCTATTATCTCTCAGAATTTCACTACACTTTTTATTACCACTTTGTTGAAGTGTTTTTGGATATTCTTGTGACTGACTCGTATAACTGCGAAATTTCCCAGCATACCCTCTCCTTGTTGAAGCCCTGATAAAGAACCTGTCTGTCTGATCATCTATGTCCCCCTCTCTTTTCCTGAGTATTTTCATGTTAATCATCTCTCATGTTTGTCACTCCTCTATAACATAAGAACTAGTCTTGCTTCATGGCTCGTTTCCCCTTGACTAAAGCATCAGTCTTGATGCACTTGTGGGTTTGTGTACTTGCTTAGTAGTGTTTGCTGAGTTAAGTCACAGATCCTCACTTATCTATCAACTGGCTTACCTGATTTTTAACCACTGCATGTTCCAAAATTGGAATACGCAGTAGTGGTGTATGGTGTTTCCACCTAATATAAAACAAGACTAGCTAGAAAATGTCCAAAGACAAGCTACAAAACAGCTACCAAAACTGATAAAAGTGAACTGACAGACTGCATTCACTAAGAGCAATAAGGACATACAGTAAAAGATTATACAATGAAATGAAAGAAATGATAACATTAACTGGCTGAACAAGAGACCATAAACAGAAGGATGGACACGGGATGTGAAATACTGTAAATTAACAGTCTGACACTCGATCATCTTTGCCACCGGAAACATTTATCACTGTCAATTTACAGACCACAGTTCATGCCCTGTCAATGAATAATCTTAGAGTTCAAGAAACCATAACTATAAACTATGTAACCGGTGTTGAAAGGATATTAGAAAGTGCTTCAAAGAATACTAGAACAATAGAATGGGTAACAAGAGGAGTTAGTGCTATAATCACTGGTAACTAAAAAAAAAAAATATTGAATAAACACTGAAGATGGTGTTGAAAATAGTATAAAATACCAATATCATTCCAGACCATGGAACTGAACTTTTCTCTGGGCTGAGGGACTGACCATCTCATATACTTTTTCTCCAAGGTTGATGGACTGATTACATCATCTTATTTCATTACTACACCTGCTGCCTCTGTATTTGACTGAAGAAGTCTACTGTGTACGCAAAACATTTCATCAATAAATATACCCAACTGTTACATGTGTCTCTTAATCTTCACTGAAGGAAGTACACTACAAGGTTAACTCTGCTCCTGTACTTAACAGAGAGACAAACACCCACAGTCAAGAACAAAGGATTTGGAGTTAATATCACACCAAACATCACCAAAACTGCACATCAACCCCATAACTTCAGCAGCAGATGCCAGACTGGCAAACCTCAGAACAGCATTCAGGAGCTTTAGCAATGAAAATAGAATTGTATATATATCATATGCTAGGCCCATCACTGAGCAGTGCGTATTCCCAGTTCAAAGGTTTGCAGCTGGACTTGTCCCATGAGAGAAATATACTGGGAGTGATGTTGAAGATAGAGAACCTAATTATTTGTGGGCAAGGGGCTTGGACATCCAGCAGGCATGTGTGAGCATGTTAGATAGGAGTGAGGCAAATAGTTTTTTGGACCTGACGAGCTGCTGGAGTGTGAGCAAGGTAACATTTTGTGAAGGGATTCAGGAAAACCGGTTAGACGGACTTGAGTCCTGGAGTTGGGAATTACAATGCCCACACTCTGAAGGAGGGGTTAAAGATATTTGCTATTTGGAAGGACATCTGAAATGTCATACTTTCATGCTTCTGGCAAGGCAGTAATAGTGTGGAGAAAAGAAACAAATGCAGTATAATGTGATCCTTTATTGACTACGTTTTACCTACAGAGTGGGGTTTACTAAGTCACAAACAGATCTACCAGGGTAAAGAGTACACGAGTATATAGTGTGGAGAGTCAGGTGGAGAATGCTGGGTAAGTTGGATCTAAGACGACCCTGCACAGGACAGGTGGGTATGTATGTTATGTAGGATAGCGATGAAGAAGTTTCTTGGTAACAACTTCTATAATATAGCTGAACCCCTTGCCAAGAAACTTCATCGTTATCCTATATAACAACACACACACCCGCCCGCCCTGTGCAGGTCCATCTCAGATACAACCTACCCAACATTCTCCACCTGACTCTCCACACTATATATACTCCTGTACTCTTTACCCAGGCAGATCTGTTTGTGACTTGATAAAGTCCACTGTGTAGGTGAAACATAGTCAATAATCACACTATACTGCATCTGCATCTATTTTTCCACAGTGATAGTGTGAATGATGGTGAAAGCATTTCTTTTTCTGGTCACGCTGCCTCGGATTTATATATTCATGGGAACCTCCAGTTGGCTGCCTAATTATTGATACTTGCAAAATAGTTATTCATTTATTTAAATGACTTGTCAGAAGGAATAAAAATCAATGTGTATTTGTGGATACAAAGGTATTATGTAAACTTAATATATTAAAATATGCTCTAAACCTATATGGGTGATACAGCATTAAGTAAAATATATAACTTTGAATTCCTGCAAGAATGAAAAAATTGAGCACTTGGAGTGAAAAATAAATGAAGGAAAGAAAATGAGAAAAAATGCAAAAAAAGTTTTCTTCACTGGTAAAATGTGCAAAAAATTTTTAAGAAAAACAAATTATGAATTGCAAGAGATTTAAGTATAAAAAAAAAAAACAGGATAATATGGCTGGAGACGTCTGGACAGTCATGTTCAAGGTAAAAACTGCTGTTCACTCCACCAGAATTCTTACCTATGTTAAATAGATGTAAAAGTAGTGAGCTTTAGCTAATGGTGTCCAGAGAGCAGCAAGTTTATTACTCTCTCGTCCTAGTGTGCAGCAAGTTTATTATTCTCTTGTCCTAGTGTGCAGCTATTACTATTACTATTTGTTTCTGGTAATTAGGGTAGCATAAACAGCAATGTTTTTCCCTGGGATGATGAAGAATAAATATTTTATACTGTATTTTAGGGGAAATTAAAGTTAACATTAATATGGCATAGAATGTGAACATGGAAATAAGTGCTCAATAATAAGCTATATGGAGACAAACTCAAGAGATAAATTGATCTGTATATTTTGACCCCCTTCTGGGGCCCTCTTCAGCAGATATACAAGTAAAAGGAGAACATGAATATATAGAGAAGGTTGAACCTCTCATTGTGCAGTGAGACGCAACCTTCTCTTTATACTCATGGTCTCCTTTGGTGTATCTGCTGAAGAGGACCCCAGAAAAGGATTGAAATATACTGATCAATTAATCTTCTGAGTTTCAGTGTCTATGTGGGTTATTACTGAGCATTGATAAAAGTTCATTATACTTATATTCATAAAAAGAAGTGTTGAAAAAACTAAGGCTCTGAAGATACTGTCAGCTTATTACAATAAGATAAAGAAATATAGACAAAACAGAGAGGTAGCATAGAAAAATGAAGAACTATATATTAGGTAAATAATGGACAGTGAACTTTGAAGAACATGATAGACAGGATAAGATAGCATATCAAAAAATTACTATTATGTATTATATTCAGGGAGAAGACCTTAACCCTTAGGGATCACAGTATGTATGAAAATAAACTCACACACAGGTAAAAGAAACTTGTGATGATGTTTTGGTCCAAGTTGGATCATTAATGGTGCAAGTTGGACCAAAATTTCGTGGTAAGTTCCTCCCTCCTATGTGCCGGTTTATTTGTGTATTGTTCCAGTCACAGTATTGTAACTTTTTGTTCTTTATGGATGAAAATGAGCGATACAAAATAATGATCAATGAAATGTTTATGAAGGCAACGCTTTAGTCATCAAGGTCTTTGTTAAACCAATATTTACAACACATGGACACTGAGTATTTATAGAGGGGCAAGATGTGTCCACATAATGTATGCACTTGCTTGACAAATCCCCTGCTGGGCAAAACGTCACACCTTAATGTCTATGTGTATTTACCAAACTACTGTCAATATTTCTAACAGTAATTGGCAGTTTGGAGGGATATGTTGTGTATCTTTATACGTATATGCTTCTAAACTGTTGTATTCTGAGCACCTCTGCAAAAGCAGTGATAATGTGTGAGTGTGGTGAAAGTGTTGAATGATGATGAAAGTATTTTCTTTTTGGGGATTTTCTTCTTTTTTTGGGTCACCCTGCCTCGGTGGGAGACGGCCGACTTGTTGAAAAAAAAAAAAAAATTACACACGAATGAATAAGACAGAGAAATTCAGCAGAAACACACATGCAAATCCAAGATAGCAAAACTATAGAAATGTAGCCACAATAAATGAATGGAGAAAAAAATGAATGAGATAAAACATGAACCACCTCGGCTATCATAGCTTATTAAAAGCACAACTGAAAATGAGGAAAAATACTCTCCCCTTTTTTTTAAATTTTGATATACAAACATGGCTGGAGTAATCCCAAAAATAATACAGTAATTTATTATTATTATTATTATTACAATAAATTAAAAAACGGTACTAAGCTTTAAAAGAATTAGAATTAAGAGACAAGAAGAAATAAACAACGCATTCAAAGAGTCCTGCAACATGAATAACGGTATCATAATTTACAATATAAAACAGCTATACAACAAGAGTGGTTTAATGGAGTCCTGAAAAACCATGAGAAAGAAAGCAAGAACTCTGAACTAATATATTAAACCTCAGAGTGGGTGGGGATTGAACTCATGGTTCGCTCCTCACCCATGGTACAATCATGTCATTACAATTTCACGAGTCAATATATTTACCGGTACAAATACGGTATATTAAAGAAAAAGTGATAAACACATTGAAGTAATGTAGGAAACACCCAGAGAGTCAAACGTGCCAGAATTTTAATATACACAGATACAGAGGGAGAGAGAAACTTAAAAAAATAGTATTGTGGACAAGAACAAGACAGAACCTAAGTTTTCATTCATTTATTTATTTCAAGGGGATTGTAAACCAGTAGGGAAATGGAGGCAATCAAATTTAAACCAAGAAAAGGGAGGGTATGTTCAAATTCTTTGGATCAAGAGCCCTTAACCAGCATCATTCCCTTGAAGGGAATCTTTCATTTAAATCCATAATAAGCAAATTAAATGAGAGACAAAATATGAATAATTGAGGACATGACAAAATACAAACAACTGAGGACATGACAAAATATGAATAATTGAGGACATGACAAAATACAAACAACTGAGGACATGACGGAATATGAATAATTGAGGACATGACAAAATACAAATAATTGAAGACACGATAAAATACAAATAATTGAGGACATGACAAAATACGAATAATTGAGGACATGATGAAATATGAATAATTGAGGACATGACAAAATACAAACAACTGAGGACATGACAAAATACAAATAATTGAGGACATGACAAAATACAAACAACTGAAGACACAGTGAAATACAAATAATTGAGGACATGGCAAAATATGAATGAGGGCAAAAAATATGAATAATCGAGGACATGACAAAATTGAAGGAGAAAATATAAGAGATACTATTACATACAGCCATGCGTGTCCTAAGAGGTGACTAAAATGCTGGGAGCAAGGGGCTATTAACCACTTCTATATAAATTACTAATGTAAAAATAAAAGTTCTGTTTGTTTTTCGGGTCACCTGCCTCAGTGGGAGACGACCACTGTTAAAAAATACTACATACGTTCCAATGAGTGTTTACAGAAGAGGAGACCTTTGACGTCGTTTTAAAACCCAAACTACCCAAATGAAATGCAAAATATTGAGATAGCTGAAAAAATAAAAGAAGTACGGCTAATACTGATATGGATATGAAAAAAGGAATAGAGCACAAGACAGCACTTTAGGTCTAGAAGCTAAGTTTTTAAGATCTCATTGAAAAAAAGGAAACCTAGCAGGAAAATGGAAAATGGCTCACTTTATGCCTTTATCCAAAAAATGAAGGAACATGGAGGACCTGTGAACTAAAGGCTGGTCTCTCTGACAAAAAAAAAAGCTGAACTAACCAAGTTCTGGGAATATATTAAGATAATACTTCAGTCACTAAACTTGCTCAAGAAATGGATGATCAGACTGGAATTATTTGAATGCAAGAGTTTTGGATAGTTCTCACCAGACTAACCAGGAAGCCACAATACACACACACACAAAATACAACACAAACTATTGCAGTGGACGAGAGATTTTCCATTTGAAAGTAAATGCAAGCAATCATACAAATGAAGATGTCTTTGTGAGATACTATCACTAGTTGGGTCCCAAATTAAGCTGTGCTTATCTCAATAACAATAATAATTTTTAAAGCAAGAAGAAATAAAAAGGAGATGTGGCCATGTTTCCAGATGATGCAAAAAATCCTATGTGGGACAAAAAATGAAAATAAGAACATAAGAACATAAGAGAACATAAGAAAGGAGGAACACTGCAGGAGGCCTGTTGGCCCATACTAGGCAGGTCCTGTACAATTCATCCCACTAACAAACATTTGCCCAACCCAGTCTTCAATGCTACACAAGAAATAAGCTCTGATGTGAAAGTCCCACTCAAATCCAACCCTCCCACTCATGTACTTATCCAACCTAAATTTGAAACTACCCAAAGTCCTAAATTTTAACTGTAGAAAGACCTGAATAGATTGAACAAGTAACAAGAGATGAATAATGGAATTTATTGTGGATAAATGTCATGCAATGAAACTAGGAGAATATAAAAACAGGTCAAAGAATTTAAAATGTAAAAAGATACTGAGAGAAAAAAACAGACTCAGGCATCATTAATGACATCATTAAATCATATTAATAAAATCATAAGCTCTTAATGATGCTGGCAAGCTTTTATAATAATAGAAATAACTGGAACTTGCAGTAATTGCACTGTCCACACCTTAAAATAAATTGTGGACAAGACAAAAAATTTCAAAGAATGGCTAAAAAAATGTCTATCAAAAGATATGATTTGCAAAGACAGGCTAAAGGCATTAGATACGTATTAACTGGCTAATATTGTAGGAACAGAGGGGAAACATGATAACTAAATCCCAAATTCTGAGGCTACAAAAGAACTGACAAGGAATATTTCCTATAACTGATAAAGAAGTCATAACTATACACTAGGGTAAGAAGAACTGCTGAAAGAATACCAGAAGAACGGAATGTCTTACACAAAGAGGCAGCGAGCGCTACAACCACTGGAAACTTTAAATAATGATAAATAAAATTTCAAAGATAGGACACCACTATCTTAAATTTACTCCTGTAATGACAAATCGGTAATTACACATACACACACATGCACGCATGTGCGCACACACACTCATATTAATATGTATGGAGATAATCAGTAACGAATGGCTGATTACGTTACTCTTAAGTCATGTGAGATTACACTCCATAAATTTTTGCTAATCTACATATAGTATTTCAGTTTTTATACATTAAGGTATTATTCATCAATGCATCTGGTTAGGCTCTACTGCTTTACTTTGTAAAATAAAAAACTATGACAAATAAAATGTAGCAATATGCCTATCACTGATCAAGTGGGATAACAGCCTATCCAACTGCACTTATGAATTATTCCTTTGTCAGTCGGATACATAAGAACACTTAGTCATTTTTTACATCAGTTACAAAGTCTATTATTGTTCATTAAAACTTGTTTTTTTTTTTCTAAATGATGAACACCCTGGTGTTAACCGACATAAAAATGTACAGGACGGCCCAGCATATACAGCATCTCTAGTCAGTGTTCCACATTTTGTAGGCTTCAAACTGAGTCATTGTTCATTACGTCCCACCCGCCTGTGATTTTTGCCGGCAAGTGGAACAATGGCTCAACTGAAAGCCAATAAAGACATGAATCAGTGAATAGCTGTGCTATATATGCAGTGACTGTATATCACAAAATGTAACATTACCAATTACAGTATAAACATAATTCAAAATTTCTTCATTAGGCTTGTTGGCAACTGTACTAAAATCGTTAAAATACTAAAATAGTTACCTTTTAGCAAGATATTTTTGCTTAATACTTGTGGTAAAGTATAGAATTACATACAGTATTTGTATTCAGTATCAGACAAGTCATTTTATCCCACTTTCAGTGAAAAAATTTCCTTGACGAGCCACGTCAGAATAATGGTAAAAAATGCCAATCCAAATAGACTAAACTATAAGAAACTAATGTATGAAAGTTTTGAAGGCTGCCAAAACAACATAGAAGTAATAATATATATGCCCCAGGAACAGATCAATGAACATAAGCACCCATAATAAACAATTACAGGTCAATCCATTTTCCAGAATACGTTGGTTCGGGCAACTGCACATTGTTGACCTTTAGATACACAATAAATCACAAGACTAGCATTCATGTAAAATTGCAACAAATGTGACAGTTGTATGCATACACCAGTGAGACACTTTCCAAAGGTGGAGATATAACAAAGTCACAGCTTTGAAAATCAGTGACCACCAAGACTACAAAAGTGCCCACCATTAAGCTGTTTAATTTTCATGTTTCCACCTTCAAATATAATGATATACTTTCCTGTTTTGATTAGAATTAACACACCAAAGTCATTTTGCATGCAAAAAGCTACCTATTTAAATTAGCTGTTTACATAATGTACAAAATTTTCAAAACTGGTTCTTGCTCATCCCTACTCATGGTATAGTGGGGAAATATAGTGCTATAGACCAGCACCAGCAACAGTTGAAACATCACAAGCACTCAACTCTCATTCACTTTTTACATGTCGTAAATGACACTCTAACATACTGGCAAACACAGAACACTTCAGTGGAATAGTTTAACTTCTCGTTACTTTGTGAGCAGTCATTAAGTGATCAAACTTCTTCAAATTATCCAATATTTAACAGATATCTGCACTGAAATATTAAAACAAAAAACCGTTTACGTTTCACCAAACATGTAATGTACCTCATTTAAATGCAAGAGTATTGTTATTTGCACACAGACTGAGAATCAATTCTGGGTAAATGTGATGTTAAGTGACATGCTTGGACCTCTGTGACATGGCACTGCACATACTCAACCCTGCCTGTCTTACGTGTGCGATGAGAATAAGAAACTCAAATAGCTAACAAAACTTGTCATGGCAACACTAGCACAGTACAGTATCTCAGCCTGTTTCATAATGTACATACAAAACACTAACGTTGTATTGTATTAGTAATATCTTTTACAGTGTTCTCTATTTCCAAGAAGAGCTTTTCATTGTGTTCGATTGAGCGTCCACCAGCCGAGCGTAGCTGTCTGGTCTGTAGCTCCAAGCGAGTCAGAAGTTCTCGCATATGGAACCGACTTTGAGGTGGAATGTTATCCATGTAATCCCCACATGCACGGTGGAAGCCTGACACTTTCTGTGCTGCTTGAATACACGCAGCAACGGTAGCGGTGGAGTTCTCTGACTGCAGGTTTGCTATGGAAGACTCCACTAAGTGACCTTGTTCCATCAGACCGGCCTTCTCAGTACTGCTACTTGACGAAGCACTCACGCTGTCGCTCGGAACAGTGCCCCCCGACGATGTCATACTAGGAGTTGGATTGACTGATACACCAAGAGGAGCTTCTTTTAAAAGCTTAACATCTTTGCTCTCAGCTTCTTTCCCTTCTTTCTTAACAGAAATAACTGGAAGTGAAGGAGGTCTAATGATCGAAGGAGTAGCATATATTCCCGCTGGTTTTGGTGGTGGTGGTTTAACCCCAGCAGGAGGAGGAGGTAATTTAAAACTCTTCACTACTGGTTTAACAGGAACTGAAGGTTTCCCATCAGAGAGCTTCATGTCAGGTTCACTACCACAGGTAGGAGGCCACATTCTTCTTTCCAATTTTCCAACTTTTCCCTCATCTTCTGGAGTTTTGTTTGTAAGTTGAGTATCAGTGTTCGTGTCTTTTTCACCCTTTGTTAACTTTGGCAATTCTGGCCGCTTATATATACATGGAGCATACTTGGGACTAGTTTGGTTAGGATCGGACTTGGCTAGTTTGTCAGAATCCTGTTTCTCCCACAACTTCTTTAAACTACTTATGCTACTTGAACTAAACCGTTTGGCATCTTCATCCTCACTCACTTTTAAAGAATCACTTTGATCACTCTCTTTCTTTTCACCTTGCAAACTCTCTCTCTTTTCACCTTGTAAAGTGTCCCTCTTTTCACCTTGTAAACTGTCCCTTTTTTCACTTTGAATATTTGTTATGCTTTCACTCATAACATCACTCTTGATGCCAGAATCACAGCTCCGTTCATTTTTACCACCATTATCAGTCCTTTTAATCACTTCACTAAACACTTGCACACCGTTTTCTTGCTGATCCTCAGGACAAGTATCTTCTTCGGGTGTTTTTGCTGATAATTCACTGTCCTTCACAACATTGGTCTTTCTTAGCTGTGCTCGGAAGTCCATCAAAGTACTATGAGGATCAATTTCTGTGTTGCAACTTTCTTCAACACTTTTTGTTGTGTCTGTTTTCCTAAGCTGAGCTTTAAAATTAATTTTCCTCTGATCTCTTTCAGAATTATTTCTTTCAAACGGACTTTTGACTTTCTTTAAACTCGGTTTGAAGCCTAATTGATTACTAGCATCTCTTACATTAGTATTTTCCATTTCAGACTTTATAAAGTGTTCGTTATTAACTGTATTACCATTATCCAGATGAGGACTCTCACTGGCTTTATTACTTTTATGACGTAAACTTTCAAATAACTCCGAGACTAGCTGCAGTGCAGGATTTTTTTGACTACCAGGTGAGGTTTCCCCAGTGGGAATGGGATCTGGGCTCTGTTCCTTCTTATCACCAACCTCCTTCAACTCAGACACTAGTTTAAGTTCAAGGCTTTCTTTCACTTCATGATTAATACCTAGTCCTATTACTACCTTTGGTTCTTCTGTTGAGAGTTCTTCTATGCTGCCATCACGAGACGCGAGTGACGCAACATCAACCGACGGAGGACTTACATCTATTCCTGCTGGAGAGGATGGAGTTTGTCCTCCATCTCCAGTAGGGGAGGATGGAGTTTGCCCTCCATCTCCAACAGGGGAAGATGGAGTTTGCAAACCCTCAGTTTCAGCTGATGATGAACCTGGACTTTTGGCAGGAGTAGAGCTGGGCTTTGCCTTAATTTTGGTATTGCCAAGACCAGGTCGTGGAGAGAGATTTTCACTGGATTTAAAGCTTTCACACGAGTCAGAGGACTGGTCTCTGTGTCTCAAGTTCACTCCAAACCTCGAGGCTGGACTACCCTCAGTTGTATCTCCATCAATACTTGTATCAAGGTTTGGCTTAGCTCTCACTGGAGGCTTGTCTGCATCTGTGTCTCGTAGCCTTAAGCGTGTGATGCTTAGAGTCGTTCTCTCTGCTTGTGGAGACTCGGAACCTTCTGCTATGACCTGATTTTCTGATACTGATTGAGCTGATAGTTTCTGAGGACTAACATTGGAGTAATCTGTCTTCCGCCTTGCTCTAGGTGATGGAATTGGCTTTTGTACCAAGCGTCGCCGGGACTCTGGAGAAGAAGTTCCCAACCAACGCTCCGAACCTGGCGGAGGAGGAAACTCGAGTGTTGCAGATAATGCATCTTCGATGAAGTCATCAGGTGGAGGAGGCAAATCTATTGGAGGCGGTGGAAATTCTAAATCAGCCAAACTTGGCTCCTTAATACGCTTGTCAGTTCGAAGAGGCTGAAGACGAGGGCTTAACCGTGATATTAAGGGCGACTGAGGTGGGAATCCACTCTGGGTAGAATTGCTGCGTATCATGGAGACTGTATTCTTATCTGGGTTCTCTTTACTTTCTTCATGATCACCCTGTTCCTCTTGTTGCCCAAGATCTTGTTGTTCCCGCTGCTCCGAAGATTGAACGTTATCATCAGGTGGAGGCACACCTTGGGAAAGACCACTCTGGCGAAGAGATTCAAGGTACGCTCCAATTCTGGCACCCTTAGGCAGAGTGCCATAACGGTTAATGGCCCTTTTCACATTGTGAACCTCTAATGCAGCAACAGTGAGATGTTTTCCTCCAGTACCGCTCTGACTCTCAGCTTTCTCCATCCTGCCACGTCGTATTCTCTCGCCACCAGCCTTAGGGTCTCGCAATCCAGCCGATGATTTTTGTCTGGAAAATAGAAACAAGAATCATAATGAGTTTCAAACAAAACAATGAATTTGATGCAAGTGCAACACTTGGGTATCTTTATTATGGAAATGTTTTGTCACACAGTGGCTTCCTCAGTCCAATACAGAGAAGAATGGTTGAAGATCAGAAGTTTAAGGTAGTCAGTCCCCAATTACCATTTATCTACAAACATAAGTTCTCTACTTAATAATAATACAAAGTTAAATGGTGGTCCCTTGAGTTATGTTATTAATCTATTCAGAAGATGTATCATAGCCTCCAAACTATCATAACTCAAACCCCAGAACACTTGGTTTTATGGTAATTTATTGCAAGACCCTGGAAGTGCAACTTTTACTGTGAAACTGAGACACATGTGCAACATCTGGGTATCTTTATTGTAGATGTTTCGCCATCCAGTGGCTTTATCAATACAAATTCCAGTGACTATGTCCTCGTCTGCTACCCGTCCCATTTCCACCTGACGTTACTATATAAGCACCAGGCGCCTTGCTTCTGCTTCAGAATCTCCACGACTATGGTGCTCTTCGCACCTACTGCTAGGTTGAGGGACTGATTACCT